GAATAGAATAGAATAGAATAGAATAGAATAGAATAGAATAGAATAGAATAGAATAGAATAGAATAGAATGCTATACTTCATTGGCCAAGTGTGATTGGACACACAAGGAATTTGTCTTTGGTGCAAATGCTCTCAGTGTACATAAAAGAAAAGACACATTCGTCAAGAGTCAAGAATCATAAGGTACTACACTTAATAGTAGTCATAGGATACAGTAACCAATCAAATCATACTAGGAAACAGCCAATATAAGTCGTAAGTATACAAGCGACAAAGTTACAGTCATAGAGAATCACTTCAGTCGTTAAGTTATAGGGTGGTTAAGTGAATCTGGCTTCTCCATTGACTTTCCTTGCAAGAAGGTCACAGAAGCTGATCACTGCAACCATCATAAATATGAATCTGTTCCCAAACATCTGAATTTTGATCACATGGGGATGTTGAAAAGGTCGTAGGTGTGAAAAGCGGTCGTAGGTCATTTTTTGGGTTGTAACTTCAGTCACTAAATGAATGGTTGTAAGTCAAGGACTACCTGTAATGACCAATCATACTAAAAAAAAAATCTTTGGAGGATATAATGACTGTCTGCGAAAGCCATTGAGAGCTTTGGAAGTGAGCTCTTGGGTTTTATCTGACTTTGTTTGTTGGAAGGCCACAAAAGGTGATCACATGACCCCAGGACACTGCCACAGGCATAAATAAATGTCAGTTGCCAAGTCTCTGAATTTTGATCATGTGACACGGCAACTGTCATCATGAGTGTAAGAAAAGGTCATAAGTCACTTTTTTCAGTGCCATTGTAACTTGGAACGCTTCACTAAATGAACTGTTGCATGTCGAGGGCTACTTGCATTCTCCCCTTTTGAGTTTTCCATATGTTTGTACATCTCTGCCACTGAATAGGATCAGGGATTTTTGTAAAACTACTGATATGTACAAGATGAGTGAACAAATAGCCCCAACATTGGGTGCCTGTTCTTTTTTTATTTATTTCATAAACATCATCATTCAACCACCTGCAGTGGGTCAGTGCAAAAAAACAAAAAGTAACTGCCCTTTGAGATTCATTAACTGATTCCACCACTTTTCACTTGCAGTCAAGGAAACACTCTTGAGAAGGTGATCGGCCTCTCATTTTCATGGGGAGGAATTCTGGCCCATTTCTTTTTGGCCAATATTTGAAAGTTTTCTTTCTCATTTTAGGTCCTACCACAAAATGCAGCCTGCAAGACACTAAACAGCTAGTAATAGGGCCCCACGAGATATTAACATTATTATGTGATATTTTTTAACTTGTCATATATATATATATATATATATATATATATATATATATATATATACACACACACACACACACGCATGCACGCACACACACACACAAAGGAAGGTACAGATATAGGATGACAAAATTGAATGAGAACAAAGGAAAGCAATCCAGCATCCTGTAATCTCTCATACTGTTAGCCCCACTAAATAGCCCAGACCAAGAAAATAACTCCATAGGCAGACTAAAAGTACTTTGATTGAGACTGTTTGTACTAACAGAATCTTGCAAGTCTGATTCTAAATATACCTCAGCATTTGCTCATTAAACCTCACTGCTGAAGAATACAAAACTTCCTGGGATCAGGAAGTCTCTGTTTGTGCTTCTTTGTAGCCATAGGCAAATACATCAATACAACCATACGGCCTGCAAGCCACTCAAGAGTTCACCTTTTGGAGGAGATGAGCAGCATAAAAAAATAAAAAATAAAATAAAACAGCTATAAAGTCTATCAGCCAGAACATCTGTATTGTTCTTCTTCACCATGTGAAGACTTCACCCCTGGGTTGGTAGTTTCTCCAAACATTTAACTTTGAAAATTCACACATGGCCGGACTAGGTCAGGAAACAAATTGCCAGTAAGAATGGATCCCTAAATGCAAAAGTTGATTTGCCATTGCAAAGCAAAGCAATCAGAGCATTTGTACCAAGTTTATGCTCCAGTATTTAAACACTAGGCTCTTTCTTCCTGCCTGAGTTTACAAGATATTTGACTGGATTTATTTGCTGGCCATGGGAGCCAGTTAATTAAAATTTATGTGATGCCTCTCTTTAGGCCAGAAACCCCTGGTTCCGGTCTGAAAACTCTCAGCCCTGATGCCTTGTAGAGTTGAACATTTGGGATTATTGTCTTGTTGCTTCAACTAATATAACCTGATAATCTCCTGTGGTACAAAACACTGTACATTAATGGTAGCTGAATCATTCAGATCCCAAGACAACAGCAAAGCACAAAAAACTATAATACAGGTGGTCCTCAATATATGACTACAATTGGGTCCAGAATTTCCATTATAAGTCATTGTGGTTGTATATCAATGGTCATAAGTGTGAGGACCAATCATAAGTCACTTGCTTTAGTGCTGCTGTAAGTTTCCACAGTCACTAAATGAATGGTTGTAAGTCTGGGACTACCTATAGATCATTACTGAGCAATTGGCTTCAGAAGGACAATGTGAGTGCATGAGAATCCAAAATCCCTCCAAATACAGCAGCTCTCAAGAATATATGATAGCAAACAAAACAACAAAGCTGTCTACTCACTTTGCTAATGCACACCACTATGCAATCATTTGCTTATTCGTGGTTTGTTGGATAACCAGAATTGGCAGGTTTTCATTCTGTGTTTTTTAAGCCATATAAGCAGGCAAACCATATAAAAATTGCAGGTAATCCTCAACTTACAACCACAATTGAGCCCAATATTTTGTTGCTAAGTGAAACATTTGCTAAGTGAACTTTGCCTCGTTTTATGCTGTTTCTTGCCAAGGTTGATAACTGAACCACTGCAGTTGTTAAGTTAGCAACACAGTTATTAAGTAAATCTATAAGACTTTGTAAGAAGGGCACAAAAGTTGATCACATGGCCCCGTCATAAATGAGTCAGTTGCCAAGCATCTGAATTTTGATCATGTGACTATGAGGATAATCTAACAGTGTGTGAAAAATGACCGTGTCACTTTTTTCAGTGTTGTTATAATTTTGAACAATCATTAAATGAACTGTTTTAAGTCGAGGATTACTTGTAGTCAGTCTCTACTTCTACAACACTATGGAGTAGAAGTGTCTTTCCCAGGACCCTAAGCAGAGAAGCAAAGGGAATATGGGATGCTCCCTTCTCTTTGTTCTCTCTGCTCTCCTCCTGGGAAGCAGCAGCAACAGGAGAATCCAGAAAAGGAAAGAGCAGGGAAATCAACAGGATTAACAGAGTTGGAAGGGACCTTGTAGGTCATCTAGTCCAACCCTCCTCCCTGGTCCAAGATGGAGACCCTACATCATTTCTGAAAGATGGCAGTCCAGTCTCTTCTTGAAAGCTTTCAGAGATGAAGCTCCCACCATTTCTGAAGGCAAATCTGTCTCATTTGGTTGATTGTTCTGGCTGTCGGAAAAATTCTCCTTATTTCTAGGTTGAATCTCTCCTTGATCAGCTTCTATCCATTATTCCTTGTCTGGCCTTCAGGTGCTTTGGAAAATAGCTTGATCCACCCCGCCACCCCTACCAGCAAAGATATTTGCTGGTCACCAAAAGGGCAGCAAAAGTGTGGAGCGGTGGGTCATTTCTCTTTTCCCTCAAAGCAAAGGGACGACCCAAGACCAGAAGAGCACGCCAAGGAAAGGAGGTGGGGGGGTTGTCCCAGCGGGGAAGAGCCCGGCCTGGCGATACAGCTGGGCGTGGCTTCACCGCACGGGCGGGGGGGCGGGGTCGGGGTCAAGATCGCTTTCCCAATCCCGGAGGCTCCGCTGGGATTCCGGTCTCCGCTCCGGGAAAGGAGCGTGGGGTGGGGGGGAGATCGCTACAGTTGGCGTTTCTTTGCTTCTGGTTCGCCAGAGCTTTGCTCGTTGGTCACCCCGGGCTCAAAGGCGCCGCGATGTCCTCCGTGCAGGTTCTTTACCCTCCCAAGATTCATCACAGCATGCTTAACGCGGGATGCCTCAAAGATGATCCGACTCAGGGTAAGCGTCCCACCAGAGACTGGAGGGGGGGGGAGGGGGAACCGAGGGGGCTGGGGATCGCTTGCTTGGGGGAGGGTTTTACAACAAACCCCCCCCCCCGGTATTTTGGGGTGTGCACAAAATTCTTTCGATCCTATCACTAGTTCAGGGGAGCAAGGACAGGCTCGATCGATCCTTCCTTGTAGTGGACGCTCGACCACCACTTTCGTCCGACTACCTTCAAATTGTCCATTGGTTGTGGGATTTGGTGGGGGGGCTCCCGCTAAAAGTTCTGCATGTTCGGGGGGGTGGGGCGCTTACAGTGAACAGAGGGGGCTTCCCTTATCTGCACCACGACCTTGTATTGGCTTTAATTTAGCTGTCAGGATTTCCCCTGCAGTCTTGGGACCTGTAGTTTGGCCAGGAGCGCTGACACCCCCGCCACACACACACACTTCAAGTGAACTACAGTTCCCAAGATTCTGTGGGGAGACGGAATGTCTTTAAATCCAGGTAGTAGTTGTGTCTCTAAAGACCCTCACCCAAGTGCTTCAGCTGGGAGCTTGGTGATACCATGGGCTGTAGCAGTAGATAGATAATGGCCACTGAACAGCTTCCTTCCTCAACTTGGGTAAGGCTTTCTGGTAGTTGTGATCTCAAAACAATTTGAGACCATCAAGATGGGGAAGACTGGGTGGATTGCATTTCTTAAATGTCAATAATCTAGGGGCCATGGTATTCCCCTCCCCCAAACGTTTAAATCTGGTTGTGATTTGTGTAAATGCCCCCCTCTTCTATCTTTTCCTTCACCCCAACTTTTATAACTTTTGATATACTTGCTAAGGATTTCCAGTGCAAGCTATATTTGATGCCTGAATATGGTTCATTTTAATAGTGGTTTCACCCCCACCCCCTTGACTAGACTACCGACACCATTCTTAACAAAGTTTGAAGACCAGTGCTGAAATATTTCCATCAGGTTGCTTGTTGCCAAGTGTGAAGGAGACTGTGGTATTCTAACTCAGTGCTGACTCCTGTCAGCAGCTGCTAACTTTGCAAGCTTTTTAGCTACCTCCTTTGAGGTTTATACTGCAGTTAACTGTCTCTAAACTAGTATTGGACTACAATTCACATCCCTCAAAGCCACCAGGACTGACTGGGGATGAGAGTTGTGATTTCTCTAGCAGGCTATTAAATCTGGTTTAAATCCAGATTAGGTTGGATTGGTTAAAATCTATGTAAGTAGCAGGTTTTCACAGCTCAATGAATTGAGTGGTGAGAGCAGAAGTGGACACAAAATGTGTGTTTGGACTCTTTCTATGTTTGGGATCTTGCTCCTATTTGGTTTTTAATCTTTTGTTTAAAATGAAACAGGAAATTGGGATGCAGAGTGCAAATAAAAATCTGTGTCACATTTATTTGCACCAATACCTTTGGATTCTTCGAAAACCCCATTGGAGAACCTCCTTGGGACTGATTCTCCTTCTGTTAATTGTTTTATAAGTGGTCATGTCCATCATGCCACTGATTTCATAAATAGGCAAGGATCCCATGATAGCTACTTTGTGAATGCTTCCAAAATTCCAAATATACCCATTGACTTAGAAAAAGCACTTATTTTCTGACATTGGTCGGTTTACGCCCAGCAGTTACAAAAAATAAAAATAAAAAATAGCGGTTTACTGAAATGTATACAGGCACATTTTTAAGGAGAAAACTGGAGATATTTAAATTTGTCCTTCTTGTATAAGTGTGCAACATAATCATATTTATAGAAGAGAACCTATGAGCTTAAGATTGAACTATGGAGTCTTGGTGCTTTCTTGGTCTTTCCTTGCAGATGTTTCATTACCCAACTAAGTAACATCATTTGTGCTAGTGAGTGTGGAGTTTGCTCCCTGTTTATATACAGTAGTTTGCCCTACTGGCATTAGTGGGGGTACATTTTTTTCCTTTGGTAGTCCCTTGATTAGGGTATTGTTTTCTGCTGGATTGTTTGTTTGGTATGGATAAATATATTTCCAAGTGGGGCATGGCTTCAATCATGCCTTACCTGTCCAGATGCAAACTTTGCCCTCTTCCGCTCCTTGAATGCCACTGTTGCCAACCAATTTATAAATAGATATCCTTAAAAATTAACTCTTCTTCTTTAAAGCAATCCCTGTGATTGCTATGATAAGCTTTGGTGGGCTTTGATGGGCTTTTGGGTTCTATAGATCGTGCTAGAATGGCTTGAAATACATAAATATGTATTATCAGATAAAGAGCTACTCACTACAGAGGAAAAAAGATGGTCAAGTCAAAAACAAAGAGGCATGTGATTTGTCACTCTAAGACCCAGAATCATATGGAACGGGACTGCCAATAAATATTGTATTACGTAGTATTTGTATATTCATAAGGGTATTTTATAGACAATACATTCACACAATCCACTATGTCATGTTTTTTAATGTTACTGTGCAGTTTAAAATATAGATCCTGCCACTGTTTAAGTTTCATCATTAAGCTGTTAGCTTATTGCGTTAAGTTGGGCTGAGGGAGAGAATGACTGGCCCAAAGTCATCCAGCTGCTTTTGTGTCTAAGATAGGAGTAGAATTTGCAGTAATCCAGCTTCTTTGGGCCAGTCACTCTCTCTCAGCCCAACTCATCTCGCAGGGTTGTTGTTTTGGGAAAGAATAAGAAGAGTATGGAAGATTGTATGTTCATCACTTTGAGTTATTTATGAAAATAAGATGGGATATAAAACAAATATTTTTTAAAAACCAGACATCTCAATAATTCTAATTAAAATTTTATACATTAAATGGCAATTCTTTTCCTGTTAATGAGGAAATAGTTGGGATATAGTGTCCGATCTAAAGCCATCAAGCAGATGACAGCAGAAATATATTTGCCACTATGCTTCTTTTGATGTTTCTAGCTTATATGCTCGCATCTGTGAGTAAAGCATTGTAAACAAATGTCTTTGCAAGATCCTCTTGACCGACATAGAAAACTTGCTGGAAACAAATCTCATTCTATATTTACCTTCTTTTCACATCTGTCAGGATAAAAAAAACCTGTTTTGTTTGCAGTTTTTTTGATGGCCCTTCTAAAGTTATGTGTCACTGAAAAAATGTGTAATACAGTAATGTAGCAACCCATTTTCAGTCAAGGTTGCTCTCTTGTCCTTGTGACAAAATTGTTCCTCCTCTACTCCACACTATCCTTTTTAAATGACCTTTTAGGATCTACTTTTGATCCTGGGATGACGTAGAGCTAGCCAGTACTTTGGCCTGACAACACTGTTTCACATGACAGTTGTATTCTCTATCCTCTCCTGTCTCCCCATTTCCCAGCAACAGAATCTCTCACAAAGTACACAGTAAATAAAAGTGTCTTTTTGGCCAGAAGGCAAAGAAACATCTTGTTCCTCCACATCCATTGTGCAAGATCCTGTCCAAACTCCCACCGCAATTACTCCCACCACAATTTCTCTCTTAGTTTGAGCAAATAGTCCTACTTCATACTAACCTCTCGACCACGTCATTTATAGCTGGAGCTCCCTGACTTAAGGGCAACTCCTGCATTCCTAAGAAGTTAGCTAAGTCTCACAGCAGTTTATACTTTGAGGCTTATCTTTGTCAGCTTGTGTTGCAGGAAAGTGAAACCAAACTAGCAGACTCTACTGAAAGAGACAGGAAAAGTGATGTACCTGGATTAGATTGTTGAGGGAGTTTTCATTTGTTCACTAATCAAAGGTTTTTTAAAGTCAGTGTCTCACACACTTCACTGTTTGTGTGTTAGCAGGGTTATTTTTTTTTCAACAGAATCATTTTTAAAATATAAGTTTTTCAAACTGCAAGCATCATTACCAAGGCAAACTGTGCTACAGTTCAGCCTGGTTCTGTCACATACACTGACATCCATGTAGTTTCAGCAGGAGTAAAATGCAATTAAGTTTTTGAAAAGATGAGGCAGCAAAATGCTGGGTGAAAAACAGACAAGCACATATAAAAAGATTAAAATGTTTGCATTTCCTAAAAAGATTAAAAAGTAATTTCCTTGTTTTTCACTAAGGTATTTTGGCCTTGGGATATTAGAAATATACTAACCCTATACAAGCTAAGAAATGAAGTCAATAAGAACCTGTACCTAAGAAACTGAAATTTGAAATTAAGCAGCTTCACCTTTGTTTGTACAGGATAGTTGAATTAGCAGCTGTTCTTTCTCATTTAGATGTAGAAAAGGATTTTGTTTTGTTTTGCTGTTTGTCAAATCAAGACCTTGACCAGGCTGCCACACTATTTGTTAGTAAAGGCTGTATCAAACAGGAAAGATTTCTTCTAACCCTGCCATGGGGAAAGGGCCTCCTAGACCTAGAAGACTCAAGGTCTCAGCTATATGTTTAATCTGAGGTTATCCCAAAGGTGCTTTTTTCCAAGAGGCAAAAGGAAAACCAGGAAGCCCAGTTGCCTCTTGAAAAAGCACCTTTGGGACAACCATGACCTGGATGACTGATAATCTCCATAGACATTAATGTGAGGTTAGTCAGTCCGTAATTAATATCTGCATTTATGTTTGCAAAAAATATATGTCTGTGGAGAACAGGGAGGAGGGCCTGTGGCCTCGTTTTATATAATCTAAACAGGCCCCCTGGAATGGGCAAAAGCAAGCCAAAAAAAAAAAAAGTATAGACGCGTTTTTTAATGCGTTCGTCTGAACGAGGTACAGGAGTTAAGTCCACACTACAAATCCACCAACTCTGAACACTTTCCTAAACTTGGCGTGCTCTTCTTAATCGGCAGTTACTAAGAGTTACCTGTTACATTTAAACTAGCACGGAAAGGTACAAAACGCGAAAGCAGCTGCGGGACCGGTGCAAGGCCAATAAACCGCTTTCCCCTCTTGCAAAAAAAAAACCCAAAAAACTTCCAGCATTATTGTTACGCCGGTAGCTCCCACGTGGATAAACAAGCTGCGGGCGGCGGGCGGAGGGGGGGTTGGGGGGGGGAATGAATTCTCGCGCGCCTCTCCTCGATTGGCTAGCGCCGCACGCCGCGCTGTTTTCCGATTGGTTGGAGTCACTTTGCGTACCCGCCCCCCCCCGGGGAAGTCATTTTTCTCCCCCCACCCCCTCCTCTTTCGCGAATTTTGCCGACTGTTTTGGTCTCCCTCGGTGTAGATTAGACTCGGCCGGCTGGCCATTATAAAACTTTTTAAGGTTCCCGTCCTCCGATTGGCCGAGCCCTTCCTCCTCCGTCATGCGGCTCGCCTTCCCATTGGCCAGGGTGGTCGTGGAGTGGGTTAGCCCCGTAAAAAGAGAAGAATTTCCTCCCCACCCCTCCCGGGCTCGCGTGGTGGAAGGGGCGGGGCGCGGGCTTTTAAAGCTTGATTGAGGCGGGAGAGGGGGGCGTCCCGCTGCTCTGGCTGGCCATGCTTGTGGCTCAGGGACCCACCTGCCACCGTCAGGGTCCTGAAGGGCCGCTGGCCCCGGACGCCGTGCAAGAGGAGCCTGGATGCTTAGGTACCCCAGCGCAAGGCAGCACGTGTGGCAGCGGCACCAGCCCGGGCGCCTTTGTGAATGGGGAAAAAGAAGAAGAAGAAGAGGAGGAGGAGGAGGAGGCGAGGGTGGCTTCCCCGGCACGACTCACCCGGCTTTTTCTTCCCTATTCTCTCCCTGCAGGGAAGGTGGCCTTGGAGACGCGCTACCGCCTGGGAGCGCTGATCGGGAGCGGCGGCTTCGGCACCGTCTACGCGGGGACGCGGCTCAGCGACTCCCTCCCGGTGAGTGAACGTGTGAGCGGCGGCTTTGCAGGCACCGGGCTGGAGAAACCGCAGAGAGAGAGTGAGAGAGTGTCCCGCGTCTGTAAGCGAACGGGGAGCCTCCTTCGCGCGGGGTGGGGAAAAGGGGGCGGTGAGGCGGGCTACTCCCGAGCCCGCCACATCCATCAGTTCTAACTATCGTGGTTAATGGTAAGTGGGAGGAGGTCGAAGCCTATCTAGATAAAAGGCGGGGCGCCCCAGGAATTAGCCATCCTCTGCTCGGCGGGGTTTTACAGTAAATTTGGGAGGGGTCCACAAAGCGCCACAGCATTTAGATGTTTCCAACCCCTTGGTTAAGGACGGGATGCCTTTTTTTGTTGTTTTAAAAAAACCGTGATTAAAAAACACACACTCTGGAGCATATATTAGTAATTGACTCCTGCTGGTGTTTTAAGCTGAGTTTAAGGGCTTTTTAGACCAGGGGTCTCCAACCTTGGCCATTTTAAGACTTGTGGACTTCAACTTCCAGAATTCCTCAGCCAGCATAACTCCAGCATAGCTGGCTGGAGAATTCTAGGAGTTGAAGTCCACAAGTCTTAAAGTGGCCAAGTTTGGAGACCTCTGGTCTAAACTGACAAACTGTGGCATAAGCGTCTTTGGACCATAGAATGGTTATAACCCAATTTCCTGAAATGCTTGAAATGGTGTTATTTTGACCCAAGAGGATGATTGAAGGGGGTTCGAGAAGATGGACTTCTGGAAAAATGCAGAAGTGGGTAATTAAGCTGTTGACCTAGTTAACTTATTTGAGGTGTGCAAATTGGAAGGACAAAGTTTAATTTGGAGTATGGGTGGCGGGAGGAACATGCCTGTTGCTCCTACTGAAAACACCTGCTGTCTCTTGTGGATTTGCACAGCTTCCCTGGATTTTGGGAAATACACATTTGCTTTAAGGCGTTTCCCTAATGGTGCTACTCATGTCTCCACATTCATTCAGAATCCTATTTTGTCCTTTGAATTCTGCTTTAAATAAATTGGGGCTTAATATTAATAAATTCATGTAGCATAAGAAAAACTCTTGTATGTTATAGTTCTAGACTAAAGCTTCATAAAACATGGTGACTGTGGTTTATTCTGTTGTGCTTAATATGGTATGTGCCCAAGTTCCTAATTGGATACATTATGTAGGCCCAGAAAATGGATTAATTCACTAACCAAATTAGAATCAGTTTGGTCTAGTAGTTAAGGCACCAGTTTAGAAACTGGAAGACTCTCAATTCTAGTTCTATTACAGGTATGAAAACTATCTTGGTGACTTTGGGCTAGTCTCTCTCAGCCCAATCCCCTTTTCAGGATTGTTATTGTGGGGAAAATAGGAGGAAGAAGGAGTATTAGGTACAATAGCCACCCTGAATTATTTATAAAAGTAAAGGTGGGAAATAAAGAATTAAAATCAAATCAAAATCATATACACAAAAGGATATTGTAGCTGCCAGTTCTTTAGCTGGCCTTCATACATGTTTGTTCTTCCCAAGAGCCTATGATTTTGTATAGGAGTTTTTAACTTTATAATTTTTAAGCTTAAATTTTTATGATGTATTATTTGAGCCGCGCAGAGTTACTGTGTGACAAGATGGGTGGCTAACAAATTTTACAAAAAAATAAGTAATCTATACTTAGATTCACAGTCAAAGACTGATGGAAACTTAATAATTCAAGTCCTAAGAATTATTGTAGCATCTGAGGATATAGGCATTCCAAGCAGGGTTGAGGGGAATTGGGAAATTAGTGCATTCAGATCTGATAAATTCAAAATTTCCAAATATTGAGAGAGCCCTCCAAGGGCTCCAATCACAATTGCTATAGCATAGATTTCTCTATCTGAAGGTGATCAATACATATGACGTACCGTATGAGGATGCTATATATAAATCATTATACATCATACAAGTTCAGTACCAAAAATGTGCATACATGCCTAGGGGTTAGGCATGTAGAGTTTTTCTTCTCTGTGGCTGGGCATCAAAAGGCAGCTACAGTTTCCATCAATTTTTTTCTTGACTAATAAGAAAAACTAGTGACTTTGAGGGGGAGAGTTAAACAATAGACCGCCCAGCAAAAGTTTTTCCAATTGTTAAATTATTAAATTTCTATGGATAGAATACTAAAACGAATATTGCTTGCAACTTCTGTACAAATAGGGAACTTTAGATTATAGACCATCTTTACAAGGTAGTGAAAACGGCATCCTGTGTTGTAGACCACAAACAGTGATGTCATGGACAGCATCACAGGTCTTCTGCAGCTGTGACACCTGAGTTCCATGCTGTTAAAAGTATTTGTGAGAGAATCTATAACTCTGAATAGGAGATATTTTGCCCAATGCCAAAGAGATTCTTTCAGTATAGTATATTACAAAAGTAGTCCTTGTTTAGAGACAACTAGGTCTGGCAATTTGGTTGTTAAAAGTGAAGTGCTTGCTAAATGAAACTGCAAACGTGCATACGATCTTTAGATTGCTTTACAGACCTGTAAAGGTCCTAAATGTGAGGAGTGGTCGCAAAGTTATTTTTCCGTCACTATTCTAATTGTGAAACAAGGTCTGCCTGTATTTGTTTTTGAAAATAAAGCTGAACAGAACAGAACTGGAAGGGACCTTGGAGGTCTTCTAGTCTAGCTCCCTGATCAAGTAGGAGAACTTATACCATCTCAGATCAGCCTCTTTAAAAAAAAAACAAAACTCCAGTGATGAAGCACCCACAACATCTGAAGGCAAACTGTTCCACTGGTTAATTGTCCTCACTGTTAGGAAGTTTCCCTTTAATTCCAGGTTGCTTTTCTGTTTAATTAGTTTCCAACCATTGCTTCTTATCCTGCTCTCTGGTGCTTTGAATAATAATTTGACACACACACACACCCTCTTCTTTGTGGCAGCCTCTCAAATACTGGAATACTGCTATCATGTCCCCCATAATTCTTCCTTTCTTTCGACTAGCCAGACCCAAAACCTGCAGCTGCTCTTCATATGGTTTAGTCTCTAGACTTTTGATCATCTTGGTAGCTCTTTTCTGAACCTTTTTCAAAGTCTCAACATCTTTTAAGTAGCATTCCTCTTTGAGAAGAACTGTAGTTTATACTGAGAAAATTCAACCTTCCTCCAGCTTTCGAGAGGCATAAGGAGAGCTTGTATCAAGGGTGCTGGTGGTTTTCAGGGTCTGGATTAGATACCATGGTGGGTTGTAGCGAAGTTTGTTCTAAACCTGTAAAGATTGCCTTTTTAAAGTTTGCTAATTTTTATTCTTTCAGGTGGCTGTTAAACATGTTGCCAAGGACCGAATCTTGCAGTTCCACCATATGGTGAGTGTTTCTTCCATGTTGAACATTTTTGCAGTTAAAGTCTTGCAATACCCTTTGCTGTTTGGAGAGCTGTGGCAAACACTCTTATCTGTTTCGATTCCTGTCCTTCTCTAGAATGGCACCCTCATCCCTATGGAAGTCCATCTGCTGAAGAAAGTTTCGTCCCCAGGTTGCCGAGGTGTCGTCCGTCTTCTGGATTGGTTTGAGCAGCCTGACTCGTACTTCATTGTTATGGAGCGACCGCTTGTTTCTCAGGACCTGTTTGACGTTATCACAGACCAGGGGCCACTCCCAGAAAACGTGGCTGCTGGTTACTTTCAGCAAGTGGTGGAGGCAGTGCGCCATTGCCATCTGTGTGGTGTGTTGCATCGAGACATAAAAGACGAAAACATCTTAGTAGACCTTCTGCATGGTGACTTAAAGCTCATAGACTTTGGCTCAGGTGCATTGTTGCGGGATACTCTATACACAGATTTTGATGGTGAGTAGAGACTGTAGTTGGCAGGGAGAAGGAAGGGAACATTTGCATGTAAGAAAGGACAAATCCTTTGTCTGAAACAGCCGTGAGGTAGAGGCAGGGATGGGATCCGACCGGTATAACTACCGGTTCTGTCGCTCTGCGTTGCGCACGAGTCGTGTGAGTGCAATTTACGACCTGCTGAGCTGCCTGGACAGCTGAGCAGCGCTGCGTCCAAGTGCGCAGCGGTTGAAAAAGCACTTTTTTCCTGCTTTTTCAACCGCAACTGTCGTGCAAAGCAGCTGGGGTTGAAAACTCAGGAAATAAAGCTCAGATAAGAGCCCAGGCGGGCCAGTAGGCCAAAACAGCAGCAGACATAGAACCAGTTCTATGTATGCTCTCTGTTTGTTGCCTTTCATAGCAACTGGTTCTACAGAAGTGGACAGAACCAGTAGAATCCCATCCCTGGGTAAAGGGCCCAAGGGGGTCTGTACAAAGCAATTTTCTATGGAAGATGAAGAAGATAAGGAAGCCAATATAATAGCTAACAATGGCTTATGTCTCAAAATAGCTTTCCTAAACCCAGTGCCCCTGAACTTGATGTAACCATTTGACTGGAGATTATTGATATTGAAGTCCAAAATCCATGGAGGATATCAGGTTCAGAAAAGCTGGTCTTGAAAGGTGACACAGAAAGGTTTCTGGTTACAAGAATTTCAGAAAGTTGGTAGAGAGACAGAAGAGCTCTTTGGGTTTTTTCCTAGTTCAGTTCGGGGCTAATTAACTAAATCCTCCTTTGAATTCATGCTTGATTTCTGAAGACTTTATAGACATTTTTAGCAATAAGTAGATTGATATTATTCCTTTCTGGAATATTTTTTTAAAATTTTCAGATTAGCCAGGACCCTTGATTATTCTCTAGTGGCCTCCTTTATCTGCTTAGTCTCACAATTGCTTCCACCTGCTGAAGCCCTCAACAAATAAGAAAAGCAAAACATGTTCTGTGTGTGGAATGAGTAGTTATATTGATAATTAACATGAATGCACAGAGGAGTTCTAAGGCCGTACTTGCTACCTTTTCGCCAGCAGAACTATGCCCCATCTATTATTCATTGGACATTTATAAGGAAGAGATCTTTTTATATACAAATTTTGTATGTAGACTTGCATTCCAAGTATGGGCCAGGATATATGCACAGAACTTTACAATGGATTGGGTTCAATTCCAGTCATAGCATTCCTGTTTGTTCCTAAGAACTCCATGTGTCTCATCATATGTCTCAGGACCTCAGGAATGTTGTTTTGTGCTAGATAACTACTTTCCAGAGCTCTCATATTTTGAATTCTTTTGAAAAGTATGTTAAAGGTAAAAGCAATTTGATCCTCTTCTTAAGCTCTTGTTTTAGATTAAGAGTGCCCATTGTTTTTTTTTAAAACAAACTCAGAGGGTTAGGCGTTTTTTCAGAATACTTTCATCTCCCAAATACGTGCCAGTTACTCTTTGATTCATTGCACCCTTTCAATTTTCACATTTTGAGGAAGTAGAAATTCTACATGCTGATATATTCATACATTAATTCTAGTATCCCAGATTCTTAGCAGTGTCTGCTCCCATATAGTATTAAAACTCATAGAATTTGGTTACAAATGAGAGAGGATATCTGTCTAGCGTATGCTACTGTAAAGTGTTGATACAGGTTTTCATGACTGTTTTCTCCAAAATAATTATTTTACAAAGGGTATTTTTACACAGAAAAAAATATTAATATTTTTAATATTGTCTATGCTTGCAGATAGAATAACTTATATAGAGGAAAACTGAGCATTGTCAACTGTTAGTCTGAACACGATGGCCTGTCTACTCTTGTCTTACAAGAATTTTTTAAAAATGCCGTTTACAAGCATTTTATTCTGAGGAAGTCTCTTTGGGCATCGTTGTCAGCTATTCCTTTCTCTTGCTACAGGCACCCGGGTTTACAGCCCCCCTGAGTGGATAAAATATCACCACTATCATGGTGTGTCTGCCACAGTGTGGTCCCTGGGTGTGCTGCTATATGACATGGTATGTGGGGACATCCCTTTTGAACGTGATGAGGAGATCCTGCTTGGAAAACTCCATTATCACTGTAGGATAACCTCAGGTGAGCATTGCTGTGAGCTTAGGCCAAAGAATATGTCTGTCAGATGATGGGAGTCTTTTAGGCTCATGTCACAGGGCCCAAATGGGGACTGGTCTAGTTATCTGGCTTTCTGTTGAAAACTCCTTTTTTGGGGGGGTGGGGTGACAGTTCTGGCCAATATTCTTTGCCTTGTCTAGTCTGTCTCTTCCTCTCCATCTCTTTCTTTCTCTCTCCCTCTCCCTTCTTTACTTCCTATCAGTAGCTCCTGGCAATTGCCTGAATTACTCCAACAGCTTTCTTGGCAAGATTTCAGAAGTGGTTTGCCCTTGTCTCATCCTTCCTGGGGCTGAGAGAGATAGGCTGGACCAAAGTCACCAAGCTGGCTTTGTGCCTAAGGCAGTACTAAAAATTCATAGTCTTCTAGTTTTTAGCCTGGTGCCTTAGCCACTACACCAAACTGGCTTTTTTTCAGTAGAATTAAATTGGCCATTTCCCTGTAGAGATCTTTGTGTACACCATTGGAAAGCAAATTCTGATTCCATTGTACAAAAGTTGGTATGTCCTCCTGCCCCCAATCAAATATTCTTAAGTGGCTGAAATAATGAGGCCCACACCTTGCAATCAAGCAGAGCCCAGCTAAAGTGAATTATTGTACCAATAAAGCACAATAAAAACATAAACTAATAAAATTAAAGGTGATTTTGACCATCAGCACATAAGCGTACCTGGAAACATAATGTTCTTACTGTTTTGTTGAGCGGGGTTGTCCTGCACGCCTCAGAAACCTCGAATAAACTATTTAATCATGTGCGAGTTGCCCCCCAAAAGGACTGTCTTTTCCCCCCTTCAGATCCTTCACCCCATATTGTGATGACCGTTAGAACCCTCGTTTCAAGAAGAACATGTTGGACCAGTACAACTTAGGCAGGAGAGGCAATCCTGAAGACCCATTAGAGCTATGTGGGTTAAGGCTAGAACTCTGATTGGAACCCATAAACGTAATGGCTGCCAATGAATACTTAGAATTTCACAATGGCTTTGAATGTGGAAATGTTAAGGATGCTTGACAAGCAGTTGTCACTGGATGGACCAGTTTACTGAACGAATTTATGAGTAATTTACCCTCAGGTTTGGTTAAACAATGTAATCAATTCATAGATTTTGGCTGTGGGAAAGTAGGTACGCTTCGGCTTTGTCTAAACCGCACAACCACTGCTGTTTTAATGATGTAAGCCTTGTCAAGTGGTTTGCCCACAGGGGTGATGCAATTTCAGTAATTGTTTCCTCCTTTGATAGATTGCCGCCACTTGATTGAATGGTGCCTCTCGTTAATACCAGAGAAGCGACCTTCCTTGGAGCAGATCCTGGCTCACCCATGGATCCTCACGTTCTTGGAGCCGAGCGGACGCAAAGTGCAGCAGCCCATCACCCACAAAGGTGGTACTAGCCTGCGGACAGAATAGGGGCAGCCTGTCATACAAGGAGCAAAGGATGTCATGGCTTCAAAGGACTGATCTAATCACTGTTTCTTATTCCTGCTGATTAGCTGAGCGGGAAATTGCCAACGGGGGGGCAATTTCTGAAATCCTAATGGTGTGGCACTAATCCTGCCCAACTGACTAGACAATGGGGCTGCCACGTGGCCCCTAGACAAGACAACAGAGACCAAGGGGTAATGTTTTGTTTACACAAGGACTCTGCCTGGCCCTGCGTGCTGGGAAAGGGGCAGAGACTGGCACCAGGCAAGCAGTTTATATGATTTGTACAACTCAGGACCCCAACCTCCTTGGGGCAGCAGGATCAACTTCATTTTTATGTAACGTGGATATATATGCTTATGTCTCTGCAGGTGGCAGCTTATTTATTTAGCATAATATTCCATTGGGGGGGGGGGGCTCTTTTTTATGCTGATGCTAAGCGTTTACCTGCTATTATTTTGAGTGTAAAAAAAAAAAAAATTTCTCTAGTGCAGCCCAAAACTGACTCAAAAGCCTCTCCCCACTTTAGCTCCATATATCCATTCCTGTTCAGCCATTCCAAGTCTGAAACCAAGTTGACTTCTCCACGATTGCTCTAATTTATATGGGGAACGAAATGAAAAGTAAATACCTAATCTCATTTAAAAATGTACAAAAGTTCATAAATAAGGGCAAGGTCGATGTGTGTGTGTTAATTGAATCTCTGGAAGAAAAAAAACTGGCTCCAATCTTTTTACAAGAACCTCAAATTTTGTTCACATTCAAGCCAAGCTTTCATTCCAAAGAAAATTTACTTTTTCCAAAGATGCTGGCAGAATCTTGCAGTTCTAGTGGTTTTAAGAGTCCCGAGTTTCTTGTTTGAAGTTCCTGATAGGATTCTTGCCTCTTCTCATAGATCTTTCATCTGAGAGACTTTGGATATGAATGTGAATGGCCCAGGTTGTTCCTTATCCCATCTCTTCAATTTTAGGCATCCCGTGTGGTGGCTTGCAAGTACAACTGAGATGTTGGTTAATATAGGGGAAGTCTGGTGCCATGGGTGTATTTTTAGCTTTGGCAAATATCTTTTCATCTGTTCATTTTTCTGGACCTCCCTTCTCCCACCCTTCCCCCTCTTTTGTTTGCCTTAGAAACTGTGGGTTCAAAAGAGGAGGCTTTTGTGTTTACCCTTATATTCACAAATTAGGCCAAAGTACTCTTAATATTTGAGTAAGAACTTGTGTTCTGAAAAAGTAGCAGCAAGAGCCTTTTTTTTTAGAAAACTTTGGGTTACATGGGGTTCTCAGTGATTCCCCATCTTTTAAACGGAGGTCAAAGCCTTCTCTTAGCCAAATTTATTTCTCTGGTTGTTTTGTGTTCTGGTCTTTCCGCTTAGTAAAAAGAGAAGGACACTACATCCCCAAGCAGTTAAGACTGACAGTAGATATTTGACTTGAAGATTCAAGTTGATTTTCACGCAGGGTCATGTAAATGGGACTCTGCCAACTTTGGTCAGCTGAAAGGAGTGCTTGTCACAAACTTGCTTGTCCTGAATGAAGCAGGTGGGATGATGAGCCTGCTTGATACCGTAATGCTGAGAATCCAAACTTAACTAAAAACAGGAATATTTTGCTCTAGCTCCCCTCTGGGAAGGTAAACAAGACTCTACTTTTTAATCTGAATCTTAAAAGACATCTGGAAAACAGAGATTTAAGTGCTGAGTGTCTCTGAAGTTCATATTGACCTTAAAATAGTGTCTCCTTTCGATCTTTTCCTGGCTGGGCTAAAATATGAATTTGTGGTTCCCTGTATCTCCACGAAGCTGAGCAGTCTTAAATTTCTGTCTCTTAACACAAATATTGTGCCTCTGAATAACTAAGTGGGTGCTGGATCAGATGGATATGCAAAAAAAGGGAAAATCTGCAAAACTGGAGATCCAATCTGGGATATTACCAGCAACAGTTTCTAAACCTGCTGCCGCTAGCAATTATAACTGAAGAATATTTATACGCCGGTTCAGATTGTTACTTTATATTTGTGGACTTGTGTGTTTTGTTACTACTGCCTCTCATGTACATTTATGCAACCACATAACACAGTGCCTCGCCCTTTTGGGCCCCAGGATCTACAAAGCCCAATCTGGGTTTAAATAAACTTTTATAAGAAAAAGAGTTGTTTCTCTCATGTGCGCTTGTATTTGGGGGGAGATATCCATTGAGTGTCGATGTGTGTAAATGGCCTGGGTTTAAGATCAATAGATCTCTTCGCTGATTCAGTGCTTAGTTTCAGAACTTTTATATTTGTAAAAATCTTTTATCCTCTGAAAAATGTAAATAAGCTTGAGAGCAAAGGATAGCTACAGAAGTCTGCCATGGTACATGCTTTTACATCCTTTGTACTTTGAAGAATGTTCAAAGTAAATTTAAAATATAAATGATAATGCATTTTTTAAAACCTTTGAAATAGCTACAAAAATAGCAAAATATGCAGAGAAAACTCTGCTTAACTGTTAGTGATAATATATGAGGTTATACAGTAGTTAATGGTTGATGGTTGGCCCATCAAAAGTCCTTAAGATAAAAGTCTCTTTTTTGTCATTCAAAGCAGTTTGGGTGTGAATATGCATTGGATCTATTATACTAAATCTCTTGGCTTATCAGACATATCAGTTGGATTTATCCAAATCTAAAGCCACAAACAGATGCTAAACCCCCTAAGGGCCACCTGGGTTTAGTTTGATTTTGGAACATGGTGCAAGGCATCCTGGAGGGCTTTTTTGCCAAATTTCTTCAGCAATTCTTTAGCTGGATGCTTGGATCTACAAAGATGTATGATACCTTGTAAATTACCGGAATTGTTGCTACCAATTTAATTTTAATTTATATTTATTTGTATACTGCCTTTATTATTTTTACCAATAACTCAAGGCAGTGAACATATCCAACGCATCATCTTCCTCCTGTTTTTCCCACAATAACAACCCTGTGAGTTGAGTTGGGCTGATAGAATAACTGGCCCAAGGGATATCCACTGGCTTTCATGGCTAAAACAGGATTAGAACTCTGGTCTGTTTTCTAGCCTGGTGCCTTAACCGCTAGACCAAACAGGCTTCTTATCAAAGTCAAAGTCTGATTATCAGTTTTCTCTCAATCATGCAAAATATCCATCTATATACACTGCTCAAAAAAATAAAGAACACAAAAATAAGACATCCTAGATCTGAATGAATGAAATATTTTTATTAAATACTTCGTTCATTACATCGTTGAATGTGCTGACAACAAAATCACACAAAAATTATCAATGGAAATCAAATTTAGCAACCCATGGAGGTCTGGATTTGGAGTTACACTCAAAATTAAAGTGGAAAAAAACACTACAGGCTGATCCAACTTTGATTTAATGTCCTTAAAACAAGTCAAAATGAGGCTCAGTAGTATGTGTGGCCTCCATGTGCCTGTATGACCTCCCTACAATGCCTGGGCATGCTCCTGATGAGGTGGCTGATGGTCTCCTGAGGGATCTCCTCCCACACCTGGACTAAAGCATCCCCCAACTCCTGGACAGTCTGTGGTACAACATGGCGTTGGTGGAGCGAGACATCATGTCCCAGATGTGCTCAATTGGATTCAGGTCTGGGGAACGGGCAGGCCAGTCCATAGCATCAATGCCTTCATCTTGCAGGAACTGCTGACACACTCCAGCCACATGAGGTCTAGCATTGTTGTGCATTCGGAGGAACCCAGGGCCAACCGCACCAGCATATAGTCTCAAGGGGTCTGAGGATCTCATCTCGGTACCTAATGGCAGTCAGGCTACCTCTGGCGAGCACATGGAGGGCTGTGCGGCCCCTAAAGAAATGCCACCCACACCATTACTGACTCACTGCCAAACCGGTCATGCTGGAGGATGTTGCAGGCAGCAGAATGTTCTCTACCCTGTCACGTCTGTCACACGTGCTCAGTGTGAACCTGCTTTCATCTGTGAAAAGCACAGGGCGCCAGTGGCGAATTTGCCAATCTTGGTGTTCTCTGGCAAATGTCAAACGTCCTGCACGGTGTTGGGCTGTAAGCACAACCCCCACCTGTGGACATCGGGCCCTCATACCACCCTCATGGAGTCTTTCTGACCATTTGAGCAGCCACATGCACATTTGTGGCCCACTGGAGGTCATTTTGCAGGGCTCTGGCAGTGCTCCTGTCCCTCCTTGCACAAAGGCGGAGGTAGCGGTCCTGATGCTGGGTTGTTGCCCTCCTACGGCCTCCTCCACGTCTCCTGATGTACTGGCCTGTCTCCTGATAGCATCTCCATGCTCTGGACGCTACGCTGACAGACACAGCAAATTTTGCCACAGCTCACATTGATGTGCCATCCTGGATGAGCTGCACTACCTGAGTCACTTGTGTGGGTTGTAGACTCCGTATCATGCTACCACTAGAGTGAAAGCACCAGCAGCATTCAGAAGTGACCAAACCATCAGCCAGAAAGCATAGGAACTGAGAAGTGGTCTGTGGTCACACCTGCAGAACCACTCCTTTATTGGGGATGTCTTGCTAACTGCCTATGCTTTCCACCTGTTGTCTATTCCATTTGCACAACAGCATGTGAAATTGATTGTCAATCAGTGTTGCTATCTAAGTGGACAGTTTGATTTCACAGAAGTTTGATTGACTTGGAGTTACATTGTGTTATTTAAGTGTTCCCTTTATTTTTTTGAGCAGTGTAGTTTAGGTTTGGTTTCAGCAAAACCCATAAAGTCATAGATACACTGGTCCTGATTTATTCAGTTTCCATTAGAATAGAATAGAATAGAATAGAATAGAATTAAGCAATCAAATCATATTAGGAAACAATATAAATCATAAGGATACAAGCAATAAAGTTACAGCCACACAATCATAAGTGGGAGGAGATGGGTGATAGGAACGATGAGAAGATTAATAGTAATAGTAATGCAGATATAGTAAATAACTTGACAGTGATGAGGGGAATATTTGTTTAGCAGAGTGATGGCATTCGGGAAAAAACTTCTTGTGTCTAGTTGTTCTGGTATGTAGTGCTGTACATTATTATGTAATTGAATCCCTCAATGCATGTTCCTAACACTTGCTTGTGTTCTGATCCACAAGATTATTCACACATCTTCAGGAAGTGTGCAGAAGACATTTCCTTTTCATTTGGAGTACCATAACTATCCCCCAGGGTGTGAATCCAAATTTAATTGAATGCCTTATGACACAAGGGAAGCAACAGGAGAGGTTGACTACCTTGCCAAGTTGTGAGACTGATTTAACCTGTTTTTAGGAGTTCACGATTGCCCACAGATTTATGAACCACAGGGAGTTGCCATTAAAATTGTCCCTTGGTAGAAGCAAGGATGGTATTAGACCATAAATCTAGACCAAAAGTTGCAGATATGTCACTATCCTGTTAAAAGATGGGTAAGTGGAGCGTCATTCGTGTCATGCTCTCAGCATGAGAAGTTCTAGTTCTCCCAAAGACATGGGTGTTGTCTGAGGCAGATAAAGCATGAGGTTTCTCAGTCAGGTCCTGACAAGATTAAAGCAGCTCAGCATCCTATTAAAAAGAGGTGTGTGCTTAATCCTGGAGTATAAATTCTTCCGCTGGAACAACTGCTTTGAGAAACGCAGAAACTGTTGGGAGTGAGTGTTTCAGGTAAGTCAATGGGCTTTGGCAAACAAATGGGCTGTGGGTATATCACCAAAGCCTCTTTCATTAGAGACGCAGATTAATCTAATATCTGGGAGTGGGCTGATTAATACGGTAGTTGGCTCAGCCTCACAATCTCATAGCAAAATCAGTTTAGTTTGTAAAAATGTAGAAGTCTTCTGGGAAAGAAATGTAGTGTTTAGTATAACACTTCTCCACTGAACAAGAAACTACTGTAATGAGATGGAGAAATGATTGTTCAAATCACAGATCAGGAAGCATACCGTAACCGTGAGTCCAACTTCAATGGCAAATATAGGAATGAAATAGATAGGAAAGGATCACATCTGGAATCAGAATAGGAGGCTGAAATACTAATGATCTGAGATACACAGATGGCACCGCTCAATGCAAGTGAAAAAGAATCGGTCATTCTGAAAGTCAGTGGAAAATGTAAAATCTGGGTTACAGCTAAATATTAAGACAAAGATAATGTCAACCAGCATGTTTCCTAAACTTACAAGTGATGGCAAAAAAATGAAAGTAGTAGGTAGTTTTGTTTTGGGGGCTCAAGAGTAGCTCAAGATATGGACATTTCAATTACCATCTATCAGTTGTAGACAACTAAAACTCACATACTGCAGTTTATGAGCTGGAAAAAAAATAATCTTGGCAAACTGAGGCTGTGGAAAAAGTCAATGGTTAAAGTGGAGAGACAAGATCACAATAATACAGGAATTCTGTGCAAGAGCTGCAAATACTCGAGCTGTGTACATGGACCATTTTGATCTGTCTCTAATATAGATCAAAATGATCCATATACTCAGCTTGAGTCAAGCTCAACTCAGTGACACCTAACTAGTGTATCTAGATGTCTTGAACTACAACTACTTGCCACATTGATTTGAGTTAAGGTTGAATCCAAAGCATCTGGAAGGCATAATGTTGACTATCTGTGCTTCAGGTACATTATAATAGTAATCTTGAATTATGCTTCAAAGGTAAGTCAATAGAATTCTCTTCATTTTTGCAGATTTTATGAGAGAGAACTGTAGCTTCATGTCTTAGATGTTCCCTCTGCCATGAGAAAGATATTTGGGGTTTGAATTAGGAGCTTCCACCTTATCAGTTATAATCATAATATATCCTACCTCAGTGTGCACTGCACACCTATTGATGTATTTTAAAATTTTGTGTGTTCCTTCACGTGTATGAGTCTTCTCCTGTTTGGTACCCTACAGATATATTGGGATTGCAGCTCTGTTCCAATCCAGCATAGCAGCAGTTAAGAAATCTTAGAATTGCTCAATATTTTGGCAGTTTAGGGAGTTGACGTTTTACATCCGGAATATATAGACAAGATATGACAGATAGATATGTCAGAGGTTTGCTATCAGGTGCCAGGTAGAAGAAACAAATGAGATCGGCAGCTAAATATCAGTTTCCTCACTATGTAGTATGTTTGAGATTTCTCATTTTCTTTTCTAGTGGCCCATAAATAATATTTTAAATACTGTTATGGAACTGAGGAGATATCTGGTGACGTTTAACCTTGAGAAACCTCAAATGCTTGAACAGAGGTCACACAAAGGAAGAAGAGTTGCTCTCTACCACTCATAGTGCAAAAATAATGGATTTAAGTTAAAGGAACAGATATTCCAATTCGACATTAGAAGGAACTTCCCAGTGTAATAATAGTTGATGTTACCAGGCAGAAATGGTATGCTCTTTTACACGGGAGTTAATTCTGAGTAAGGATTTGAAGTTAGTGATCTAAATTACCTCTCAGGATCCTGTGACTCTATGGGGTGATTTGAAGTTGTTGAATATGGGCACAAATCAGATGATAAAAGAAATATTGATTTTTATTTATCCGTTTGATTTGGCTGGGGAATACTTGGAGTTGAAGCCCACAAGACTTAAAATTGCCAATGTTGGATGTCTGTGGAGATTCTGTTATCCAGGTCATAGTTGTCTCAAAGGTACTTATTTTTCTTCAAAAGGCAACTGGACTATTTTTTTTTCCTTAAGGAAGAAGAGGAAAACATTTTGCTTCTCATTCAAGAAGCTTCATTAGTTGTGATGTTGGATGGAAGGATAGATACCTATCCAGTCCAGTTGACTTTTGAAGAAACTCCACCCACCCACCTTTACCAAGATTGGAAACCCCTGCTTTAAACTGTGCCCTACATATAGAATTACCAAATCTAAGCCGCTAAAATCCAGATGACCACCATACGGTTGCAAAGCATTGGAGTTTTCGGTGTTTCTTTGCTCCCATCTAATGCCTTTCTGGATTTTATCATTCCAGATCTAGTGGCCCCACTTTCCAGAAAAACATTATGTCATCCCTTTAGCACTATTGGGTCAGGAGCCTAGCTTTTTTATTAAAGTCTATTAAATTGCAGTTATGAGACTAAGGATGGCTTTTGAGATCAATAGTTGAGTGACAGGTTATGTTGCGATAATTAAGATTATTACTCGATGATCAATTTGATACCATTAGCTTCAGTCATCATCATGTTTTCTTTGCATCCTCAGTCAAAGTGGGTAGTGCCAAGACAGCCAAGGATCTGGTCAATATGGATAACCCAATTGGTATGCTGGAAACTCAGGTTGGGTGAGAAACCTGTTGTTCATGCAGAGAAACGGTTATATAATTGTTCACCAACTTGCTTGGATTCCAGTCTATTATACTAGAGCCAATTAGAAGTTGCCAAAAGCAAAGACTTTGAGGGCAATAAACATGCTTTGAAGTGCAAGCCAATTATGTGATCCACAATTTCATGTCTACCCTTCTACTGAATTTTATGTGGATCTACTTCATCTGTATTTTCTGTATGACCATACAAATGAATTCTGAGATTAACTCATTTGACTGAAAGTCCATGTAGTGTGACAATTATACTTACTAGAGTAGCTAGTAAGGGATTGCAATGTTGAAATAAGGAAACACAGGTTCAAGTCCACTTTTGGCCTGGAAACTCCCAGGTGATTTTGGTTGACTTGCTTTATCTGAGCACAATTTACCTTCTTGTTAAAGGAATAATATTAAAAGAGATCCTACAGAAATAGTCCTTAACTTATGACCATTTATTTAGTGACTGCTTGATGTTACACAGTGCTGAAAAAAGTGATGTATGACTGGTCGCCTCCTGTCCTGCCATAAAACCATTGTAGCATCCCCATGGTCATGTGATCCAAATTTGGGCACTTGGCAACCAGCATGTATTTATGACAATTGAAGTGTCCCAGGGTCACATGATTGCTACCTGTGATTCTCCCAGTTGGCTTCCAAAAGGCAAAGTCAATGGGAGAGCGCCAGGTTCACTTAACAACACAATGATTCACATTAACGACTATGGCAAAAAGGTCAAAACATCAAGCACAAGGACTGTTTTGCTCAACGGTCCCAATGATAATCATAAGTCAAGGACTATCTGTAAAATGCACCTGCTAACATGGCATGGAAGGAAAGAAAGGAGAAGAGGAGAGGAAACTAACTGTATAAGAGTTAGTAGATGAACAATTCATTTAGTGACCAAAGTCCAACGGCACTGAAAAAAGTGACATGACCATTTCTCACACTTATGACCGTTGCAGCATCTTCAGATGCTTGGCAACTGATTCACGTTTATGACGGAGGCAGTATCCTGGAGTCATGCGATCTGTTTTTGTAACCTTCTGTCAAGTGGAGTCAATGGGGAAACAAGATTCACTTAACAACTGGTTTGCTAACTTAACTGCAGTAATTCACTTAACAAATGTGGCAAAAAAGTCATAAAATGGGGCAAAACTCACTTAAGAAATTTCTCACTTAGCAACATGAATGTTGGGCTCCATTGTGGTCATAAGTTGAGGACTATCTGTATATCAGTTGATCTGAGGGACCGTCTCTTGCCGGTCACATCTACGCGACCCATCAGAGCAGGGAGGCAGGGAATGTTGCAGGTCCCATCCCTGAGGGAGATATACCTGGTGGGACTCACAAGAAGGGCCTTCTCCCTGGTGGCTCCCTCTCTCTGTAATATCATTCCCCCAGAGATTAGAATGGCCCCACTCTAATACTCTTCCAGAAGGGCTGAAGACCTGGTTCTGCCAATGGGCCTGGGGAATCCAGAGCAGGATGGAGCCCATCAAATGGCTCATTTGATCTGCTATTGTTGGGGCGGGGTATGGGGTGTGTGTGATTTTATTATATTATACTTTATTTATTAATTTATTTGATTCTTTTTATTAGTTTTATTGTTTTAAACGTAGCTTTATATTCTGTAAGCTGCCTCGAGTCGCCACGGGCGAATAGGCAGCACTATAAATTCAATAAATAAATATGGTGTAATAATGCATTGCATAGGGCTCAAAGGTAGTTTTTAAGCATTTACCTCCAAGTCTAGCAGACACTGTTTAAAAATATTCTATCCCTTGCCTGAAAGATCCTCATGTTCGCTCTCACCGTTTGCTAAAATTTTCTGCCACTGTGCCACGGTGTGCCGCAAAAGTGTGTAATAGAGAGGTAGGGGAAGGAAGGAGAGGATGAGAGTATAATTCATCCCATATCTCATTCCCTAAAATGGCTACAACCTCTCGTTCAGAGCTTAAACCAAGGATAAAGAGTAGTAATCGGTAGAAAGTTTAGCTGCTCCGGCTGATACTGTAATGTTTTAGCTTCAGCAGATGTGAGGCACTGGAAGCTTGGATGGTGGAGAAGGAGCAGGCCCACCTCCAGGAGCCCAAGGGCACACTGTTTACAGGAATATGACACTACAGCACAACGCTGTGTTTCAGGCCTCCAAGCGTTGCAACACAGGGCAAACGGGTTTATATCTGTCAAGCAGATTAAATCACCTTCACTGTCTTATGAAATTAGAGGAGGAGGGGGAGGGCTGTTCCTCTGAAGGAACCTCGTGAGCTAAAGGGGAGGGAGGAAGAACAGAGACAGCCTCTCCCAAAATGATTGAACCTGATACCTCGAGAAGCTTGCCAGACGTAGTAGCTGGCAAGTATCCCCCGTCACTCCTGTCTCTCATTTATATACAACAGCCCCCAAAGGGGAATGCTTGTGGAAGTTCAGGTTAAGGAAATGCATGTCGGGGCAGGTACAACCTGTATAATATCTGCTGAGGGTAGCCGTAGCTTTTCAGCATTCTCTTTCAGTAGAGGTAGTCCCTCCGTTTATAACCATTTGAGGCAGAGGTGGCATTCAGCAGGTTCTGAGGGAGAACCTGCAAATCCCACCTCTGACTGGAGGTTTTACAGTATCGTTCCCCTGCCACGTCCACCAAGCCACACCCACAGAACCGGTAGTAACAAAATTAGAATCCCACCACTGTTTTGAGGTGACCACAACCCCCACAAAAATAACCCGGCTCCAAAGTTCCAATGGCCAGACAGCCCCCCTCCCGATCACTTGTTCACTTTTCAAAGACTCAGCAAACAGCACTCAATTATGGTCATTTGCAGCATCCTGCAATCACATGACCACAATTACAAAGTTTTTTGCTAGAAAAATCAGCATTGACTTCCAGTTTTTGCCCCATAGAGAACAAGAGGTTTGCTTGATGACTGCAGCGTTCACTTAACGCTGCGGTCCATGTAATTATGCTCATGGGAGGTCATAACATGTGAGATCTTCTTTACGGCCCTCACCACAAATAACCGTAATGGCAGGCATGAATAATGTCATAAATCGAGGACTTTATACAGGTAGTCCTCGACTTACAATCACAATTGAGCCGAACATTTATGTTGCTAAGTGAGAAATTTGTTAAGTGAGTTTCGCCCGATTTTACGACTTTTGTTTCCACCTTTGTCAAGTGAATCACTGCGGTTGTTAAATGGGTAGCATGGCTGTGAAGTGAACCTGGTTTTCCCCATGGACTTTGCTTGACAGAAGGTTGCAAAAGGGGATCACATGACCCCCGGGACACTGCCACTGTCATAAATGTGAGTCAGTTGTCAAGCATCTGAATGTAAATCCCCTGACCATGGGGATGCTACAATGGTCATGATAGCAGTCTTCCAATATTTGAGGGGCTGCCACAGAAACAAAGGGGTCAAGCTATTTTCTAAAGCACCTGTAGGCCAGTCAAGGAATAATGGATGGAAACTGAACAAGGAGAGATTTAACCTTGAAATAAGGAGAAACTTTCTGACAGTGAGAACAATCAACCAATGGAACAGCTTGCCCTTGGAAGTTGTGGGAGCGTCATCACTGGAGGCTTTCAAGAAGAGATTGGACTGCCATTTGTCAGAAATGGTGTAGGGTCTCCCGCTTGGGCGGGGGGGTTGGACTAGATGACCTACAAGGTCCCTTCCAACTCTGATTATCTGTTATCTGTCATAGGTGTGGAAAAATAGTCACAAGTCCCTTTTTTCAGTGCTGCTGTAACTTTGAACAGTCATTAAGTGAATTGTCATAAGTCAAGGACTTTACATCAACCTTTGTGCTTTTCTGAAAGTCAACCATTTCTTAACTGTTTGCAGACTTTTCTTTGAATCTGCTGTGCATCATAATAAAGATTATTTCTGTCTGAAGAGGTTAAATTGCATGCCACATTAAAACAAACACAAAAGCAGTTGCCTCTCTGTTTGAATTAATTTCAGGATCGGGGGATTATTAGCACCAGGGAGGCAGTGGCTTTCCATAAGTTTATATACCTATACAATGCAATATGGTTTTGCTGTTCCTGCACCTTGAAACCCCTAACTCTGTCTACTTAGTGGTGAAGAAAAAAAAACAATGAAGGGAAGGATAAAAATAAACACAATAAAGGGTGGATACCAGCAAACACAATTGGGCTTCATTCTTGTGGCTAAGGATGAGTACTGAGGCATTAAGCCAGGAGTGAACAAGCTTTGGCCTTCGAACCGCTTGCAGTCCTGGACCTAATTTGAATGACCCTTGGCCTAGTTTCAAAACCCTCAAGTTAGCAGTCAGATTAGAGTACTAGGATGAGGGATCTGCCACTGTATTATCGGTCTACAAGGCAGGAAGAAAAGAAAACCAAGAAACGGGGAGGGGGTCATCCTCTCCACTTTTCACTTTGGTCTTATCCAGGGGTCCCCAAACTTGGTAATTTTAAGACCTGCGGACTTCAACTCGCAGAATTCTGGGAGTTGAAGTCCACAAGTCTGAAAGTTGCCAAGTTTGGAGACCTCTGTCTTATCTATGAAGCGCGCAAGCACACAAACACACCTAACAGATTTCCCCTTGAGAAAATGTTTCCTTCACCTAGGAAATATCTCCCTGCCCTTAAGACACAGATTTCACAAAAGCAGAAATTTGAACAAAGTGAAAAAGAGAGAGAAGGGATTATTATCCGTACAGACACATCCTGAATATTTTGCTTTATGTAGACCATTTACAGCCGAACCAAGAAATTAACTCTCAGAATTCTTTCTAGCAAACAGACTGGGATAAGACACACTTCGGATTCCTCTGGCCTTGGAAAGGAGAGCTTAGAAGAAGCCTCTATGTTCTCCCAAGAGCTCAGCATGAATAGAATTGTTGTGTACGACAAGCCCAATTTTGAGGGCCTCAGCAAGGAGTTCACCTGTGATATCCCTGACCTGCATGAATTGGATTTTGGTGATTGTATCTCCTCCTTGAAGGTGAGAGGGCAGCCCTGGGTGGCCTACAAGCTTTCTAAATTTGAAGAGGATGGTGTCGTTTTCGAGGAAGGGGATTATGCTGAGATTGACAACAACAACAGGATTTCATCCCTCCGACTAGTTCACCACGATCTCTCTGACCCCCAAATTACACTGTATGAACATCCCAACTATGAAGGTCAAAGCAAGGTGGTGAAGGAAGAGACCAACCTCGCTTATGGTTACTTCAACGACCGTGTCTCCTCCCACGTGGTGCAAAGGGGTGTCTGGCTGCTCTATAAAAATGCAAACCGTGGGGGGTGGTATCACATCGCCTGGCCAGGGGAACGCATTCATGACTACAAAACTGAGATCAGCTTTGATAATAATGTCTCTCACTTGCAACCCCTGAAACCGGGCCGTCCAATCATCACCGCCAAGGTATTGTGGGATCAAAAGAAAGTAGAAGCTGAGCATGATGTTCTGATTGATGAGATTGTGGGGACCAACTGCACCGAATACGAACAAGCGTTCACCACCAACTCCACTCGAGAATATACGGCCACGGTGTTCCAGAGCTTCCATTTCAGCAACACCACTTGCCTAAAACTCGGCTTTTCTTTCCAGGTGACCTTGGGTTGTTCCAATATATTTATAGTGGAGAAAGGCAAAAGTGAGTCCACCACCACTACTGAGAAGGTAGAGGTCCTGCTGCCTGCCAAAATCCCTCCATGCACTGAACTTTCCATACAGGTGGTCAAAAAGGAGACTACCACTTCAGTGCCAGTGGAGCTCACTATCTGTCAGAATGGCAAAGAAAAGAAAGAGAGTGCTGAATACCGCTGTGTTTCGGGCCGTACCATCAGCACCAGATATACCATGAAGCCTGTCCCAGCAGCAACAGGCACTTCCCAAGCTAAAGCTCAAGAAGCGTGACAGAGGAGAAACACAACTATGGCAACTCTTGTAGATTGACAGATCTAGGAAAACATTTTCAACACGGCCTGGGCCAGGGATGAGGAAGAGAACTTAAGTTATTTCTGATTAGGCTCCTTTCAGATTTGATATTCCTGGGGTTGCAGATATTTCCAGACTGAGAAGGAAGAGAAAAACAAGGCCCTGCTTTTTTCTAGACCTGGTGATGGTTTCTGAGTTTAAATAATTAGGTTACGGGAATATCATTAGGTTTGGAGATAACAGTGTAATCCAGGTGGCAATTTATATAGGAAAAAAATGATTATTTTCTTGAAGGTATATTAATTACCTGGAAAAATAAGAATGGATGTAATAGTTTTTCCTCAATTTGAACAGTGAATGCTATTCTTAGTACTGAACATCATAAAACAGCAGAATTAAACATCTACAAGTTTATCTGTAAACATCTACAAGTTTATCTCAGTAAGGGGAGGAAGCAGTGGTTTATTTTATTGATCTGATGAAACTGAATTTTAAAAGAATGAACAATTCTTTGTTAACTTATATAAACCTCCATTCAAAAAAACATTTCTTTTTACTTTACTGGTCCAGCTTTATTTCTCATTAAAGTTATCCCTCTGATGTCAGATGTCTCACTGTGTCTAATCAGATTTTATTTGCTTATTTCAAATACTGTATATCTAATGCATAGCCATTTCAATTCAGTTATGGAATTCATCCATTTCTGGGTACATACCCCAAACTGAACTATGAATTGAACTAGTTCAGAGCCCTATTTAAGACACACATAAGGCCCAGGGTCACAAAACCAGGCAAATTACTGTTAAAACTTACTTGAAGGTGCATACCATAATCATTCAATTGACGGGGCCACATGCAACCTGTCCAAGCTGTGAGTGAGAACCCTTCCAAAAATTGCTGCCTAATTATATTTTCATAAGAGAACATAAAGAGGAATCATTCAATGTCAGTTTTGATTTGAATCATGCTTCTTCTTGGATAATCCCAGCTCAATCACAGGGTTCCTTTCAAAGGCCAAATGAGGAAGCTCAAAAAAGTCACAGTCCTTGCTTTATGACTAGTGTCCAGTGATGGGTTTTAAAAAGTTTTCCTATCGGTTCAGTGTGAGTGCGTGCTTTGCGCACGTGCAGTGTTTGCAACTCACTTTCTGTTGCAGATCCTGTGTATAAAACAGCTGATGCACGGCAATTAGTTGTGCTGCACGAAGCAGCTGATGTTGAAAAGCAGGAAATAAAGCTCAGTATAGAGCTCAGTATAGGGTGGGTGGGAGGCCCCAACAGTCAGAGCGAACCAGTTCACTCACAGATTACCATCGGAGCTACCAGTTCGGCTGAACCGGGCCGAACCGTTAGTATACCACCACTGCTAATATCCCACTGTTCCTGACAAGAACCCCAACATTGTACATTGTGTGACTCTGCTTGGCAGCCTAGTGAGGTCAAGTGCACACGTAGGGATTCTTGCTTTTGTGAATATCCTGATGGCCCCTTCTCTAGATAGCCTCTTGGCTTCTCTTGACCTTTGGCTTGCATCTTGCTAATGTAAAGTTTGGCCATTCTGGGATTGCCATCAATTGCATCATGCCAATTTCTACTAAGCTGCGGAGCTGTAACACAGGACCATAAAGCTACCATTGGGGTAGAGAGGCCCTTGCTCTTCAGAATTTTCTTCCTTATGTCTCTGGAGTTATCCATTAAATGGGCAGGGAGAGGGGAAGAGGAAATGGTGGCTCCAAATGTTTGGTTCCTCTCTGCTCTTTGGACCCGTTTTGACTCACCACTGGGTGACTCAGGGCTCTCAGTCACTGATTCCCCAGACTTGTCAGAGTTGGACCTTTTACCCAGTTAAATGTTCTGGAACAGCCCTTTGATCCCAAGAAGGTATGTAATTAAAGTTTCTGTGATGAGGTGGGCGCTAGGACTTTTGTCCCAAGCCAAGCTGATGTTTACTAGTGTGGGGGAGAAGCACCATGGTCTTCTGAATTAACTAGAAAGAATGGGCAAATATGTACTTCCAAAGAAATGGATGAAGCCTACCTATACTAATTAATCAGAGGACAGGGATGGGGCAAATAGTGGGCAAAAGCAGTGCTAGGAGAAGAGAAGGTACTTTCTGTCCAGGATCAGATGCATCTGCAGAAGACAATTTTAAAAAAAAGCCAAGATGAGCTGAAATATGACGTAACAAACACTATGTTGTCTTTTTGATCCTCTCTCCAGATATCTAAATTCTTGGCCTCCCTGAGCATTTTGGAGGGTTTGTTTCCATCAATGTAGTTAACCTACATCATAATTAACCTAGCTCATTCTTTAATCTGATACCTACCAGATCTGTTCACCCAACTCCTGGTACCTAGCACAAATTTTGGCTACACTAAGTAGGGATTTGGGGAGTTGATAGGCAACACATCTCCAGATTGTGAAAGCTCACCTAGATGGTAGAATTCTTTTATGATGGTGCCTCAAGCCTTCTACTTTAAGTAAAGCCTATGGTTTTCACTATTGATTTATTTTAATTTATTATACTGTATTTGGATTAGCACTCACAGTTATTGAGAGTCAGATGACATACAAGTTAATAATAAATGAATAAATAATGGCAACACACTAAGCATTAAGGGGCTGCTAAAGAGACCCCATCTCTCAAAACGCACATTTAATCTTTAATAGTGCATTTTGAGAGATGGGCCTTTTTAGTTAGTGGCTCAAGATCATTTGGAATCCTTTTCATCAATCAAATCCTTGACTTTTAAACTCTGACTTTTAGGCAGGCATGGTGGTCTTCCCTGAAGACCATATGTAATCGCATATGCTTCAAAATAGCTTCATACATAATACATCCAATGTCTTTAAGAAAGAAACACATATCTTTTCTCTGATTAAAGGAGTCTAAGTATTTCTTTCTTGGATTTTGAATGGAGCATCAGCTGACACTGTGGGCATGGCTTAGGTGGTGGGTGTGGCTTGATTGTCATGTGACTGGGTGGACATGGCTTGGTGGTCATGTTATTGGCTGAATGTGGCCAACTCAATATCACTCACATCGAGGCATCCATCTCCTTGCTTGGCCTCTCATGACTGTGGGGATGCTGCAACAGTCATGTGTGAAAAATGGTCATAAGTCACTTTTTTCAGTGCCATTTTAACTTTAAATGGTCACTTCACACAAGCAAAGTACCAGCAGAAGAGGGGGAAAAAACTCCTGAGACAGGAAGTCTAGTCCTGCCAAGAATGTAATAAGGGTTAACGGAGAGGCAATTTCTGTAAGCAACACCAGAATGTTTCCTTCCTGCCTTCCTTACAGGATTAGGCCAGTAATTTCTTCTTACAACTGGTTCTTCGAACTGCTTAGAATGTTAACAACCAGTTCTAACAAATAGGTGTGAACTGGTAGAATGCTACCCGGGGGGGGGGGGGGGAGGGGGGGGGGGGGGAAGTGCAGGGGGGGGTAAGGTGCATAAGGAGGGCAGGGCACATGAGGGGAGTAGGGTGCATGCATGAGGGGAGCACACACACATATGCAGGAGCGTGTGATTGCGGGGGTGCCCATGCATGGGGGGCGCATGTTGCATTTTGGATATGCACACAATGGGCATTTGGTGCTGAAAAGGTTCGCCATCACGGGGCTAGGCAATCTCAGGGGGCCCTTACAGCAATACTTGGAACCTACAAAAGCTATGATTTTTGAAAGCTGACAGCCTAGTTTCCTGATATTTTAAAGTGGGAAACCCATGAAAATGATAGTGCAAGCACTGAAATAGCTTATCTCTCAGTCCAACCCATCTTTACATGGATGTTGTTACGGTGAAAGCAGGAGGAGGGAGGTGTGTTGGATATGTTTGCTACCTTGAGTTATTTGTAAAAAATAAATAAAGGCAAGCTACAAATAAATATCATAGTTAAAAAGCAAAGACAACATGCTGGTAATCCTCAGCTGATGATGGTAATGGAGCTTGCCCATCACAGCCATAATTCATGACAGTTGTGAAGCAGGTTTTTACAATTGCAAAAAAAGATTTGCCAACCTTTTTTTATGGCAGTCGTTAAGGAAAGAAGGCTGTTGAAAAGCAAACCAATTCCTTGCTATGGGCCTCTTGTTGAAAATTAGAAGTGAATGCCTAAACATCTGGTCATAAATTGAGGACTATCTATAATATTCCCTAAAATGTAGCCATTCTTCATTTGTGATTTGCAGCTTCACCTTCACTAACAAATGTTTGGATACTTCTTAACTCTCAAAAGATTCTGCATCCTTCCCTCCTTATCTCATGGTTTTCCGAAGATAGAGGCAGTTTTAATTCTTTCAGTCTTCCAGCTAAATTTTATTAGCGTACATATCGGCGGAAAAGGGTCAATTTGTTATTACTGTTGTGTTTTTCTTTAATCATCTTGATGGATTTCTATTGTCATGTTCGTCATTCCAACCTGTTATAATTCACCTGGGATATAAAACTTGCAAAAATAAATGTAAATATAGAAAAATGAATAACACAAATAGGGAATCGCTGTCCTAAAGGCTGCATCCAGGCTGTTGAACCTTCAGTACCTGAGCCATTTCCTCCCTGACCACTTTCCAATCCGGCAATTCTTGGTTTTTTTTCCTCTCCCCCAAACAACCTGTAACATGTAGTTAAAAAGGTAAAGAAAACGTTGACCTTATGTCAGCTTCTGGTGAATGAATTGATTTTTGGGGGAACGTGTTATGCAAGCGGTCCTTTCTAGCCATCCGTTCTGTATTTTGCAGGGTGCAGTACTCCATTCAAATATTAACCAGGTGCGATTTTGCTGCAGTCAGAATTCTGCACTACCAAGGTTGCAAGCTGCTGCCATCTACTGAGGCAACACGGGGAAAGAATTTCGCAAAAATTACAGCTGTGCGGGTGGGGGCGGAGTTAATGCCCCCCCCCTCCCCATTTGTGATCTCATGGAGATTATCTGTTTGGAAACCAATTAGGCATGCAAAAAAGCTTGCCAGACCTTGTCAAACTGTGAAGAGGTCAAATGTCCCTTTTACCTAATGCTAAGGTTCGGTCTAAAAAAAAATCAAGCAAAGAAAATCAACAAAAAGAGGATAGGTGGCACGGAGGGAGCAGAAATCTAAAAATAAATTAACCCCAAACAAGAGGATAAGGCAGACATCTACAATGGGATCGTCAAATCCTTGATTAAAGTGCAAGAAACTGCTCTGTGTCCCAAAGCTCACAGGCAGGCATGTTTACAATAGAATAGAATAGAATAGAACAGAACAGAACAGAACAGAACA